ACTAATTCATAGCTTTCATAGGAATGTCATAACCTAATTATAGCCTTAGAATATGGGAAGGGGGTAGGAGACGGGAGGTGAGGAGGGTGGATGGGTGGGAGGGTGATTGGTGGGGTCACCTCTATGGTTTATCTTACAAGGGTACAAGTGAATCTTTCTAAAGGCAGAGTATGAATGTATTGACTCAATAACTAATAAAATGACATGAAGGTTATGTTAACCAGTTTGATAAGAGTATTTCAAAATGTATATGAAAACAGGACACTGTACCCCATGATTGCATTAATGTACACAGTTATGCTATAAGAAAAAAAAAAAAAACGAAGCCAAAAAGAGGTTGGATGATATGGATTAGATGTTTGATAGAAGCATGGAGTGAGGTTGGGCAGAAATAATTTGGGGACATACTCAAGCTTTTAATGGGTCAGAGAAAATTGGGTGCAATATTGTACAATAAATAGTAACAGCTCTGTTTACCGACTATAATCATGGGAAGCTACTTAATCATTTTAAGACTTAGGTTATTTACCTGTCAGATTAATGAATTTTGTCCTCTGAGAGTTAGAAGATGGTTGGTTTTCTTTTGTTTAGCAGACTCAGGCTGGGTTTGAACTCACCAGCCCTGGAGCATGTGGCCGGCACCCTAACCACTGAGCCATAGGTGCCCAGCCAGGATGGTTGGTTTTTATAGTAAAATACAGAAATTATTAACTGATAGTTTTTCAGCAGAGCCCCAAATCGATCTCCCTCTCTACCTGTTTGCTTCCTCTTGCCAGCCCTCCTTACGCCTCAGCTCCTGAAGTTCCCTTTTCAAAAGCCATTTAGTATACCATGAGGCTAAACAAATAGAATTTTTTTTCCAATTGCTAAACCTATCAATTCTGCCTTTTGAAATTTGCTCCTGAAAAGCTCCGAAACAATGGAACATGAACATCAGGCCTCAGGATCAGAAACACCTGGAAAGATGCCCATTTTCAACCTTGTTGGAAGCAAAATACACAGCATTCACATCCATAGCACTTTGTGCATTTGGCTGCAATTTCCTTTTATGTAAACCTCTTAAATCAGCAACTACTTGACCTCAACCGCAGGTGTTTTCTTTCTTTGGAATGCAACATCATCTCCTTGTTTTTTCTCTTTCCCTCTCCACACTCTATGGTAAAAATGAAGTCAGCCAAAGCAGGGCACAGTGGCTTACACCAGTAACGCCACCACACTGGAAGGCTGATGTGGGTAGATTGCTTGAGTTCAGGAGTTGGACAGCAGCCTGAGCGAGAGCAAGATGCCTGTCTCTACTAAAAACTAGCTGGGTGGCTCAGCGCCGGTATCACAGTGGTTATGGGGCTGGTCACATACACTGAGGCTGGTGGGTTTGAGCCCGGCCTGGGTCTGCTAAACAACAATGACAACTGCAACCAAAAAATAGCTGGGCATTGTGGCGGGCACCTGTAGTCCCAGCTACTTGGGAGGCTGAGGCAAGAGAATCTTGTAATCTCAAGTGTTAGAGGTTGCTGTGAGTTGTGATGCCATGCCACTCAATAAACAAACACACACACACCTGGGTATTGTGGCAGGTGCCTGTAAGTCCTAGCTATTTGGGAGGTTGAGGGAGGAGGATCACTTGAGCTCAGGAGTTTGAGATTTCTGTGAGTTATGACACCACAGCACTCTACTACCCAGGATAACAAAGTGAGACTGTCTCAAAAAACAAAACAAAACAAACAAACAAACAAACAAAAAAACCAAGTGCAGCAACTAAGACCCATAACACTCTGGGAGGCTGAGGTGGAAGTTCAGAAGTTCAAGATCAGCCTGAGCAAGAATGAGACCTAGTCTCTACTAAAAATAGAAAAAATAGACAGGCACTGTGGTGGGTGCCTGTAGTCCCAGCTATTCAGGAAGCTGAGGCAAGGGGATCACTTGAGACCAAGAATTTGAGGTTGCTGTGAGCTATGAAGCCACAGCACTCTACACAGGGTGACAGAGTGAGACTATCTTAAAAAAAATAAAAGACTAAAATAAAGTCTATACTTTATATACTAATCTGGCCTGGAGAAATTTCTCTAGCTGTCATCTCCAGTAACCCATCTCACTACTGGGTTATCCTAAATCTTGTTCAGTACAACACCATTCTGACCCTATAGTTGTCCTCATATCTGATTTCACTAGTGTACACCCCCGTATGTGAAACTTATAAAAGCCTGTCTCTCAGATCACCTCCAGGGTACAGCTATTAACTCCATACTCAGATGTCTCTGTTTCTTCTCTACCCATCCCCTTATCAGATGTTACAAAGTGACAACAGAGACTCTCAATCTCACAAACGAACTTTCTACTAGACAAACGGTCTCCCTAAACTGACTACCAATTTTAACAACTTGACTATTAAGATCTTTTCCATGCCACCCTTTAAATGTTCTTACTAAAAAATGTTTTGACATCTCATATGATGACCATGAGACCCCTATCCGTACCATAATACATCAACAAGAACTTACCTTTCCTTTAAAAAATTTTTTTGAGACAGTCTCTCACTCTGTTATCTTGGGTAGAGTGATGTGGCATCAGTCTAGCTCATAGCAAACCTCAAACTCCTTGGCTCAAGTGATCCTCCTGCCTCTGCCTCCCCAGTAGCTAGGACTACAGACCCCTGCCATAGTGCCCAGCTAGTTTTTTTTTTTTTTTTTTGTGAAGACAGGGTCTTGCTGTTGCTCAGGTTGTTCTTGAACTCCTGAGCTCAAGCAATCCGCCATCTTCAGCCTCCCAGAGTACTAGGATACAGGTGTGAGCCACCATGCCCAGCTCCAAAACCATAACTTTAAGTCTTTAAAAAAGGAACAACCTGTCAGTTACCAGAGAAAACTCTCTTATACAGACCCTTAGTTTAAAAATTCAACCTTAATATTACTTGAACTTGGTTCTATAAAACTTCAAACAGGAAGAGGTAACTGTACACCTTTAGATATATTTTTATCTGTAGCGACAAAAACCAAACAAACAAAAAAAACATAACTTCTTGGACTTGAGACTCCTCATGACCCCCTTCTCCATCCACAACAGATCTTAACAGAGACTCCATCTAAAAACTCACAAAATAATATCTTCCAGGAAAAGTCCCACAGAGATGACTGTGGATACATTCTACTCCCCTAGTAAACAGCAACAATTCATCAATATGTACTTTACAACCTATTACCTTAAAAATAATCCCTAATAAAACTACATTAGCAATAGCTACTCAACGAAAACCTTTAGACTCTAACTCAAGCAACGCCATTGCTTTAGTGGATTTGGGGATTCTGTCCATCACAAGAAATGACTGCACTCTGTGTGGGGAGGGCTACATATTTTTGTGTAAGTTGGAATTATTAAAATAATCAGAGCAATGACATGGTCACATATGAGCTATACTGAAGCATCTGAGAGTCTAAAATATTGTAGGACTGGTAAAGAAATACTCTGGCAAGGAATACTCAGCATGCAGCTAACCATGCAGGTCAAGAAATAGCGCTGGAGAGAAATGAACACTTTTACACTGTTTGTGGGATTGCAAACTAATACAAACTTTTTGGGAAGAACTACAGAGAATCTCCAAAGAGCTAAAAGTAAACCTTCCATTTGTTCCCGTGATCCCATTACTAGACATCTACCTAAAAGAAAATCATTTTATCACAAGGACATTTGCACTAGCATGTTTATAGCAGCTCAACTCAAAATTGCCAAGATGTGGAAACAACCCATGCACCCATCGACTCATGAATGAATTAATACACCATGGTATATTATATACCATCGAGTACTATTCAGCCATAAAAAGATGGAGACTGCTTTTCTAACAACCTGGATAGAGTTGGAGAACATTCTCCTCAGTAAAGTATCTCAAGAATGGAAAAATAAGCACCCTGTGTACTTAATGCTAGTTTGAAACTAGTAGATGGACAACTGCAGGCCAATCCACGAGGAAAAACAATCAAATTCAAGTAGGTGGGAGACAGGAAAGGGAGAAAAAAAAGAAAATACTAGCACTGAGCAAAGACTTGAAGGGCACTGAAGCCAGTGGAAAATACTTGTCACCTCCCCCGCCTCTGGGCTAAGCTCTCTCCAAATAAGATATCTTTTCTCATTTTTTTGTTCAGACCCCATTAATAAATACAGCTCCATTCATGAGTGCTTTCACCTTTATTTCTCTCAACAGACCTGTGCTAGAGACATTTCTATAATATCTGCAGGGGTAAGTGACTTGTGCATGTTTTATATAAACCAGACACAGAAACAGGGATATAAATGACCTGCAACCCAGCAGCCAACTTAGCCTTAAAAAGGTTCGATGGGATACTTGCAGGCCTGGGACATCCTTAGAGAAAGATTCAGACAATGAAGTAATGAGAAGAAGGTCTTTTTCCCCTGGGATCATGGTTGTCGTTTTCAATGGTCAGGTGTGGGTTGGTTGCTTGGATTTCTTTCAGCAGCTTCTGAATTTCAACATCAGATTCATCCATTTTCAACCTGGGGTACAATGTGGGGGTTAGGGAGGAAGGTTTCTTGTTGCTCCAAGGAGATTCATTTCAAATTCCCAAGCATGAAAGTCTCCCATGTCAAGGGTTCAGAGGGCATGGGCCACCATTTCTGATTATTCTCTGCTGCAAAGCAGAGCTCCACCTGTGACCTGCAATTTGATTTCCCTAACAAGTGACAACCACCAGAGCTCTCCCTCACTCAAGCTATGAGTTGTTTCTGACAAGTTGGCCACATTCTTGGACTTACCTACCAAAGCAAGAGCAAAGTGACAGAATGAATTAATGGTCACCTGGTGACCAAATAAATACCCACGGATAAAAGCCAGATGTTAGTGGCAGATGCCTATGACCCATTCATGTTGTCTGTGCGCTTCCAAAATCTACTGTCATGGAAAAAGCACACTGGGAGGTAGAAGGATCATACCTGAGCATCTGCAGGGGGCATTTTTGATGTTTCAAGGGTTTGCACAGCATCTTCACTCCACTGGACCCCAAGGAGTTCTGGCCCAGGTCCAGGGTGGACAGGTTCTGGTTGCTCTTGAGAATAGCAGAGAGGTCTTCACAGCTGAAGGTAGTGATGGAACATCCCCACAACCTGTTGGCAAAAGACAGAATTTAACTCATTAATCCAGCCAATACTGATTGATACCATCCTCTCTGCCAGGCACAGACTTGGGTTTGGGAAGGCAAGTGAGTAACAAAAGTCTCTGCCTCAGAGTTCATCTCCTGATGGGAGAATAGGAGATAGTGAGTGTCATGTGCCAAAAACAAGTGAAGGTTATAAAGGGCAAGGGAAGAAGGCAGTAGCCAGGGGTGCTAGCTTCAATGGTTAAAGTCTTGAGGGGTGAAGAGAATGAACCACAGAGATCTGGACTAGGAGCTCTCTGAGCAGAAAAACAGCTTGTGCAAAGGCCTTGAGGTTGAACAGGTTTATCTTGTAAAACAGATCAAGGCTCCAAGCATGAGAATGAGCTGGGAAGGGCTGCAAGAGCCAAGGTCACAGGCAAAAGGGGGCCAGCTTACAGAAGATCCTTAGGCTATGGCTAGGCACGGTGGCTCTTACCTGTAATCCCAGCACTTGGGAGGCTGAGGTGGGTGGATTGCCTGAGCTCACAGGTTCAAACCAGCTTGAGTCAGAGCGAGACATTGTCTCTGAAAATAGCAGGGCATTATGGCGAGTGCCTGTAGTCCCAGCTACTTGGGAGGCTGAGGTAAGAGAATTGCTTAAGCCCAGGAGTTTGAGGTGGTTGTGAGCTGTGATGCCAGGGTGACAAAGTGAGATTCTGTCTCAAAAGTAAATAAATAGGCTCCAGTGCCTGTAGCACAGTGGTTATGGCACCAGCCACATACAGTGAGGCTGGCAGGGTGGAACTTGGCCCAGGCCAGCTAAACAATGACAACTGCAACAAAAAATAGCTGGGCATTGTGGTAGGTGCCTGTGGTCCCAGCCACCTGGGATGTTGAGGCAAGAGAACCGCTTAAACCCAGGAGTTTGAGGTTGCTGTGAGCTGTGATGCCATAGCACTCTACCAAGGGAGATATAAGGACACTGTCTCCAAAATAATAAAATAATAAAAATAAATAATAAAAAAGGAAGACCCTTAAGCCATTGTAAGCTTAGGGTTTTACTTGAATTGAAATGGGGCACTATTATGGATTTTGAGGATAGAGAATGGGAGCTATGTCTCAGGAGGTTTTTTTTTTGGCAGGGCATCGTGGCTCACAGCTTACCCAGCATTCTGGGAGGCCAAGGTGGGAGAATCCCTTGAGCTCAGGAGTTCAAAACCAGCCTGAGCAAGAGTGAGACTGTGTCTCTAAAAATAGCCGGACATTGTGATGGGCTCCTATAGTTCCAGCTACTTAGGAGGCCGAGGCAGGAGGATCACTTGAGCCTAAAGAGTTTGAGGTTGCTGTGAGCTATAATACACAGAGTGCTATAACATTCTACCCAAGGTGACAGAGTGAGACTTTGTCTCAAAAAAACCCCCCCCAAACAAAAAACAAAACAAAACAAACAACAGTTATTCTGACCACTCAATTAGAAAAAGCTGTAGGGGCACAAAGAAAGCAAAAACCAGACTAATTTGAAGGCTACAGAACAACCTAGATGTTACCAGTCTGGGGGAGGTGTGAGACCAGATTCTAGATATCCGGAAGAGGGTAATGGGGCTTCAGAGTGGACTGGACTTGAGGGCTGAAATAAAAAGGGAATTCCATCTGATGACACGGAATAAAATAGTCTGTTTTGAGATGTATAATTCTTGCCACAGTTTTTGGTGGACAAAAGAACAGTTTCAGAAAAGCATAATTCTGACAGTTCTAAAGAGTGTTAAAATTTGACATTGGATTAAGAACAGCATGAAGGAGAAAACTTTCTTCCATTTGGAGGCATTGAATGGGCAAGAGACATACAAGGGGTACACAAATGTCCCAAATGTTCAAGGGCTATGTGTGCACCTACATACATGGCGCACACACCCGCACGTGCACACACACATACACACACACTCACATGAAATCAGAGAATATATCACATTACTCCAGGACTAGAATAGGTTAAATATAGGATCCAAACACTTAGCATTCAGCCTGGCACATATTTGAGTAATGTGTATACACATTTTGGTATCAAAACTGCCTTTTGCAATGGGTACAATCCACTCCATTCCTAGAATGTACAACTGAGATGCCCTGCCAGCAAGTTACAGCTGACAAAAGAGAGGGTGGCTGTTCTTCCCTTTACCAGCAGTGCCGTGGGCCAGGAAGCCTCCTGTCAGCATTAACATTGCTTCCCCTGCCATCAGGTACCTACCATGAACAGCAGTGGTTCTGAGATTCCAAGGCTCTGCTCCCTTTGCGTCCTCACCAACATACCCTGCAATTGTGCTGGGGCTTTAAGATACCGACACCACATTGAGGCATTATTCACAATAGCCAAGATATGGAATCACCCCAGAGTCCATCAGTGGGTGAGTGAAGAAAACATGGCATATGTACACAATGATACTGTGTCCAGCCATTTCAGAAGACAATATTGCCGTTTACAACAACAGGAGAGAAGTTGGGGGATACACATATTATGCTAAGCAAATTAAGCCGAGCTCAGAAACACAAATGCTTCGTGATCTCATCTCACTTATGTGTGGAAGCCAAAAAAGTCGAACTCAGTAGAATAGTGGTTCCAAGAGTCTGGGGGCAGGGGATAGAGAAACAGACCGATGTAGCTCAAAGGATACAAAATCTCAGTTTGACAGGAGGAAGGAGTTTAAGAGATCCATCCGTCTGGTGACTAGGGCTAACAATAATACAGTGTATACTTGAAAAGCGCTATGAAAGTGAAGTGTTCTCACTACAGAAAAGTGAGGCAATATATGCTATTCAGCTTGATTTAGCCATCCTACAGTGTAGAAATATCAAAACATGCTGTTCACCATAAATAAAATTACATGTCAATTGAAAAAATTTAAAAATTCTTATTCCTGACTCTCGCTTCTGGAGTTTCTGATTTGATTGTGTGGGATGCAGCTCGGGGACTGGTATTTTCACAACTCCAGGCCTTTCTATTGTAAAGTAGAGGTCAAATGCTACGACTTCACTGTTCCATACCTTCTTGTACTATAGAGGGTAGAAGATGAATTATGTTTCCTTTATGAGAAAGAATCATACTGGATAGAGTGCTGTGGCATCATCATAGCCCACTGCAACCTCAAACTTTTGGGCTTGAGAGATTCTCCTGCTTCAACCTCCTGAGTAGCTGGGATAAAGGCACCTGCCACAATGCCCAGCTAGTTTTTCTATTTTTAGTAGAGATTTTTAGTAGTCGCTCTTGCTCAGACTGGTCTCAGGCAACTCCTGAGCTCAGGCAACCTACCTGCCTTGGCCTCCCAGAGTGTTGGGATTACAGGCATGAGCCACTACACCCAGCCTATTTTTCTTTTAAAGTATTTGACTAAGATTTAATATATTCGAGGTATGCAACGTGATGACTGGATACACATACTGCACAACAATCACTGTGATCAGACCGGCAAGTCCATCACCACCAACACTGTATGTTAGATCCTCTGAGCCTGTTCATTTTACAGCTGGAAGTTTCTATCCTTTGACCAACATCTCCCCACTTCCCCTGGCAACCACCATTCGACTTTCTCTTCTATGAGTTCAACATTTTTAGATTCCGTCATTTTCACTGCACCATCATTCACAATAGGCAAGACATGGAAACAATGTAAGTGTCTATTGGCAGATGAGTGGCTAAAGGCTATGTGTTAAATATACGATGGAATATTAACTCAGCCATGAAAATGAAATTCTGCCCTTTGCATCAACAGGGGTGAACCTGAGGATAAGATGCCAGGTGAAATAAGGCAGACCCAGAAATGCCACAGGATCTGACTTATACGTGGAATTTAATTCTCTTTTAAGAGTCCCTCACTCTTAAGGTAGGATTCCAGACTCAAGTGTATCTGACCCATGGCACCTATTCTTCATGAAATTTGTGAAACAGAACCGAATTGAATTCACAGAGTGGTTGGCAGCTACTCACAGAGCCAACTTGTCCTGGCCCAACATCTGATTCCTACCTCTTTGGGCTCTGGGGCTGGGCCGCAGCTGTTTCTCGATGGCTCGAGGTACTGCACACTCAAACCTTTTCAAGAGTGGCTTTTGGATGTTACAGACCAGAGCCTACTCCTTCAACCATGCAAATGAATTTTTAAAACACTTGATAGGCTTTAAGCACCCTGAATTATAGCTGGAGGGACCTGTTACACTGACATTTTCTTTCAGGTATGGATTAAAATTTGATCAAGCATAACTTACCACAGACACCTCAAGTTACACAATGGAGCCTTCAAAGCCTCACATAGGAACTTCAGTCCTGCAATTCCGAGGTGATTCAGCCCCAGATCCAAATGCGTTAGGCTTGTTTTTTGTTGGAGAATCTTTGAGAGATGATGGCAGCCGTCGGTGGTGATGTTGCAGTGCCACAGCCTAGAACCCGATCCCGCGAAGAGAAGACAAGATAGCCCTGTTATCCTCACTGCTGTGATGCACCCAAACTGTCATCTAGCCACGGGCTTTAGACCCACTTCAGAGGTGGTAATGTGGGAGTGACATTATGGGGTGGTGCAGTACATAGGATAATGCCACCCCCCCCCCGCCAAATGTCAAAGTCCTAATTCCTAGAGCCTGTCAACATGACAAAAGGGACTTTGCAGGTGTGATTAAGGATCTTGACATGGGGAGATTATGTGGGATTAGTTGGGTGGGCCCATACAGTCACAGGGATCCTTAGAGAGGTGAGTCAAAGTTACAGGGATCCTTAGAGAGGTGAGGGAGTCAAAGTCAGCAAAGTTGTGACAAAGGGGCCACGAGCCAAGGCAGGCAGATGGCCAGTGGAAGCTGGGAATGGGATTTTCCCCTAGAACCTCCCAAAGGCACACGACTCTATTGACACTTTGATTTTAGTCCCACTCTACTGCTCACCTCCAGAACTGTAAAATGACAAATTTGTGCTGTTTTAAAGCCATTAAATTTGTAATATCCAGGATAGGAAACTACTACAGGTGGTGTGTATCATTTCTACCTTAACTGCGGAGCAGAGAATTTTGAGCTTGCCTCGGCCTGCCATCTTCTATTAGGGGCAATGATCAATTATATTTTCTATTCAGCTGCTAGAAAGGCAGCATCTTAGAGGTAGAGGGTACCAGCTCTGATTCCCACCTATGTGGTACTATATCCTGGATGTTAATCAACACAGTATCAGTGATATTTCACCTTAGCTATTTTTTTTTCCTTTGCTTTCTCCACCTTGCTAGAGTTTAGAACTTATGTTATAATGAAATTATGTCATAATGTCCATGTATTCCTATATCCCAAAGCAAGGCACAACAGGCAAGGGCCATAGGACCCACACAATGGATACAGATGACAGATTTGAGGGTGGCCCATAGGGATAAAAAGGAATGAAGATTCACCCTTCTGGCTTGGCAGTTTGTAATTTTTTTTGTTTTTTTGAGAAAGAGTCTTACTCTGTTGCCCTGAGTAGAGTGCCTTTGCATCATAGCTCATAACAACCTCAAACTCTTGGACTCAAGTGATCCTCTTGCCTCAGCCTCTCTAGTAGCTGGGACTACAGGTATGCACCACCATGCTCAGCCAGTTTTTCTATTTTAGTAGAGATGGGGTCTCATTCTTTGCTTAGGCTGCTCTCAAACTCCTGAGCTTAAGGGATCCTCTTGCCTCAGCCTCCCAGAGCACTGGTATTACAGGCAGGAGCCACTGTGCCTGGCCAATGCAATTTATAAATATATAGAAACTGCCACAACTGTGAGGTAACAAAGCAAGATCCAAGTAAGACTAAAATTAAGTTCTGACAACTTAGCAAATGGGGCCATCGATCAAAACACTTGAGGTAGAAAGGACTTGACCTGTGTTTCCCTGGAGCTGTACTCTCTTCTGGGATGTACACTTGGTGAGGTTGAGTGGCTAACCCTCCATTTTGTCATCTGTAAACTGGGAGGGGTGGGTGTGTATCTTACAAGGCTGTAAGGATTAGCTAAAATCATTGGCAAGATCTTAGCATAGTGCCTGGCACATATTAGATGCTTAATAAATGCTGACTAGTTTTTTTCTGTGTTTAGATATCTTGAATGGTAGTAACTTTTAACATAACTATTTTAATTGGAAGACAGGGCTAAAGGGTGGGTGGCATCTTATTTGCCTATGGAATTTTATACACATATTATTTGGGTGTTTGGGGGCTTAGATATTTGGGGTAGGGAGAATGCTTTCCTTCAACCATGAACTACATTAAATTTACATGAGTGAGCAGTTTTCAGATACTGGGTGCCTGAAGGCATATTCTACATTACAACCAGTTTACGGGCTGGGTACAGTGGCTCAAGCCTGTAATTATCACAGACTCTGAGAGGCTGAAGCAGGTAGATTACTTGAACTTAGGGGTTTGAAACCGGCCTTAGCAAAAGCAAGACCCTGTCTCTGTGAAAAATACAAAAACCAGCCAGGCTTTGTAGCTGAGGCAGGAGGATCATCTGAGCCCAGGAGTTTGAGGTTGCTGTGAGCTATGATGCCACAGCACTCCACCCTGGGGTGACAAAGTGAGACCATCTCAAAAAACAAAACAAAACAAAAACAAAAAAACCTAGTTTACAGGAAAAGTTGAATATTTCTAACTGTAAGAAGTGGCTTTACAGAAAAAAGATTAGAGATGTTAACACTAATAGAGTCTCTGAATGGGAACAATTGGTACAGCCCAATTCCTTTCTGAAATTTGTACTGCGATTTTAGAATTTAGAATTTAATAACAGCAGGATTATATTGCACTCACTGCCAAATAATTTCCATCTACACCCAATTGCATGTACTTTATATGACAGTTTTTGTTGTTGTTGTTAAGCAGGCCTGGGTGAGGTTCAAACCTACTTATCACTATATATAAAACATAGTTCTAAGAACACAGATTAAAAAAAAAAAAATCAGACCTGGAAACCAACTACATTCTCCCAATCCCTGTATTACATTAACAATACTTCTTAAACCTTTTTCTATCACCATCTTCCCAGGAGTCACCGGTTGTAATCATTAGTGTTATATATATTTAGAGAAGTTGACAATTGTCCTCCTGACTGCCCTACTTGAACCCAGGGGTGTGTTTGCACAGACATATTCACACACACAGGCAGGCAACAGAGACTTACACCAGGATCTGTAGTCTACACTCAGGGTAACTCAAGCCCTCACACAGGATTTTCACACCTCTGTCTCCAAGGTTGTTGTTGGCCAAGCAAAGGTGTGTTAGCCTCACACTGACAATCAAAACAGAAGCGAGGTTCTTGCAACAGGCTTCAGTAAAGTAACAGTTTTCTAACCTGCAAAAGGATCACACAAAAGGTTCCCAAGTCCAGCCTTCTCAGGTGTCTCCAAGTGCTGGAGTCCCAAAGCCCTTCTCATTAATTCCCCGCCCTCTGCCATGTGCTAGGGATCATGTGAAGGAACAGGAAGAAGACCTGGCCTCACGAGGCATCTCCCAGGGTCTGAAAATGAGAGCCAGGTGTTTACCAACAGCCACAGGGGCATTACCATTTCTGTTCTCCCCATGGCTCTAGACCTAAAATGGAGATGCTCCAGTTAGGAGAATAGGGACTTACGACAGCCTCTCCAAGCAGCACTTTGGGTGTGTCAGGGCTCTGAGCAGCAACTTGACGCCCTTATCCAGGAGGTGGTTGTCTGAAAGGATCAGGTTCATCAGTGACTGGCTGGTTTCCAGGGCCAAGAAGAGATTGACCCATTGCTGGGTGGTGGCAGAACAAGACGTTAAACTGTGGGAGAAATGAGACAAGCCATTCTTCAGAACCCAGATGCTGCAGCACCATAGAATTGCTTTTGGTTTTGTGTCTCATTGTGTTATATGCTGGCTTGAATTATTCAGAGCAATGGTTATCAAGGTGCAGTCTCTGGAACCAGTTGGAAGTACAAAACTCTAGGCTTTCAGTTAGAAATCTGGATAGAGAGGTGTGTGCGCACAGACATATTCACACACATAGGCAGGCAACAGAGACTTACACCAGAGACTTACAATTACTTGCTCTGGGTCCACCTAGAAGATGTGTTGACACAAATTCACAGGCCAGGCAGGGGCAGTACTAATGCCTATAATCCTAGCACTCTGAGAGGTTGAGGCAGGAGAATCCCTTGAGCTCAGGAGTTCTAGACCAGCCTGAGCAAGAGAGAGACCCTGTCTCTGAAAATAGCCAGGCATTGTGTCAGGCAACTATAGTCCCAAGCTGTTTGGGAGGCTGAGGCAGGAGGATCACTTTAGCCCAGGAGTGTGAGGTTGCTATAAGCTATGATGCCACTATACTCTACCCAAGGCAATAGAGTGAGACTTGGTCTCAGTGCACCAGATTGTTCATTGCAGCTCAATTCAAAATTGCCAAGTCTTGGAAGAAACCCAAGTGCCCATCGACCCATGAATGGATCAATAAACTGTGATATATGTATACCTTGGAATACTATGCAGCATTAAAAAAAGATGGAGACTTTACCTCTTTTATGTTTACATTGATGGAACTGGAAAATATTCTTAGTAAAGTATCTCAGGAAAGG